TCACCCTCTGGCTTTCATAGCTAAGGCGGGACTAGAACTCATTGTCTCTTATTTTTGTTTTGTTTTTTGTGTCTCTTCCATACAAATCCTTAGAGTTCGTATTTGAATTTGATCTATCATTTCCAATATTGATTGAAGGTACTGCTTACTCTCTAGACGTTTTTTAGCAACTTAATTTGGACTGAGCAAGCGCTTTCCATTTAAAATTCAACAGAGATATTTGGATTTGGTTATAAAATGGATATGAAATGTCTTGCAATGTCACGTTTCTAATGATACCTTGGAAATATTAGCTTTATGTTATTTTAGGTTGGTTATTTATCTGCCTGTGGTTTACTCTCTGTACTACAATTTTCTGTCTTTCATAGGCTTTGTATTATTGCTCTCTTAGATTCTTTCAAAAATACCTGCACAAAAAGAGGAGAGCAAGAGAAAAAAAAGAGAAATTGTTCCAGATCAAATCTCTCTGTATTTTTTAGAAAGTGATCTTTTCATAGCCGCAAGCTCAAGGCGTTAACAGAATAACAGATTTGGAAGGGAGGTGTTCTAGTCCAACCTGCCTACCCCTGCCAACCCCCAAACCCCACTCAGCCAGGAAACCCTACACCAGAGTTTGTCAACCTTTTGGACGTCAGAGACCAGCAAACTCATAATTTTAAATCCTGCGGACCAGAGACCTGGGGAAATGCCCAAAAAAGTCGGCAGGAAAATTCCCCACCCCATTTTCCTACCGATCGATCATTCTTTATTTGGGATTGCAGGATACATTCTCCAGATCCGTTCTCAGGGGGAGAGAGAGGGAGAGACTTTTGGCTTCATGCAAGGAAAGCAGCAGAAGCAGCAGAAGTCTTTCTTTCTCTCCCCCAAACTCCGCCAGAAATGAGTCTTTGCCAGCGCAGCCTCTTGGAGCGGGAGGCCTTGCAGGGTCCCAAAGACACATTTCTGGCGGAGTTTGGGGGAGAGAAAGAAAGACTTTTGCTGCTTTCCTTGCGTGCAGCCAAAAGCAGAAGAAGAAAGAATTGGAAAGAAGCAGCCCAGTGGCCAGGCCAGGCGTGTGGGACAAGTGGGGCAAGTTCCCCCCCTCCGCCCTTTCCCCAGTCTCCTCACTACCTCATGTTGTTTGCAATGCAAGTGATGCAAGCCTTGTGTTCCCACAGGCCATGTGAGTAGCATAGCCCTGTGTTCCCACGCAACCTGGAATAATTGCTTTGGGGGTGTTTTGGGGTGACATTTCTCTGCGGACCACCAAAATTTTCTTGCGGACCACCAGTGGTCCCTGGCCCACTGGTTGGCGACCACTGCCCTACACCATTTCAGACAAATGGCTGTCCAATCTCTTCTCTAAAACCTCCAGTGTTGAAGCACCCACAAGTTCTGGAGGCAAGTTGTTCCACTGATCAATTGATCTCAATGTCAGGAAATTTCTCCTTAGTTCTTGGTTTCATCCCAACCAGTTTCCAATTCGAGTTGTATCTTTGGTGGACAAACTGATGAGAGGTAGGAGACAGGGTTGACTGGTTTAGTGACCATTCGGTAACAACGGCACTGCAAAAAAAAATGACTTATCACTGGTCCCTGCATTTGCAATTCTCGCACCTCCCCACAGAGCCACAGTTGATCGAAATTCAATTGTTTGGCAATCAACATATATTTATATGAGGCTGCACGTGTCCTGGGATCATGTGATCACCACTTATAACCTTCCCAGCTGGCTTCCAACAAGTAAAGTAAACAGGGGAAGCTGGAATCGCTTAACGACCATTTGATTTGCTTAACAACTGCAGTGATCGCTTCACAACCATGGCAAAAATGTTGCAGCTTAACAAGGGCTTTTCTTAGCAATGGAAGTGACAAGGTTCCGACTGAGGAACCCAACTGTAGCCAGCACCACCGAGATGACCCAATCTCTTTATGCAAAACTTTATGTCAGGATTCCGGCAGTTACTCCAATTAAATCATGAGCCTCGAGCCACACTCCCAAAACTAAAAAAGATTATTTGAAGGTAATATTCTATGTCCGGCATTTACCTGGGCATAGCCAACTCTGAGATACGTGATTCATTGTCACCCTTGATCCTGCTTTTCCCCCCCACCCCTCTGGGTGTATCATCCAACGAAAAACGTCCATAGCCCAGAGTCATCAATCATGCTCTCCAATTAGCTTTTTTCACGGCAGAAGCTTCAGCCATCTAATCAGTCTTTGAAGAAAATATGAATGGAATGTACTTTCAATTCCACACTGCCTGCTGCTCTTTGAAACTCCCCCCTTCTTTCTGTTGTCAACTATAAAACATGTATACAAAATGTTTTATGAGTTGACATTTTATTTTCATCACTTCGGCAAGTTTGAAGGCAAAAACTGATCTAAATCTTTCCCACGTGAAGCCTTATAGTTAAAGTTCATATTCTTCCAAAGCCCCAATTAGCTCAGGGCACATTGCCAAAATACAAGTCTCCAGATATTGCTGTGGGAAAGTCTTTCTGGCTTTTGTAAATACCTGTCAAAATGTCCTTTGTTCTCACGCAGACATCTCCCCATATAATTCATTGGCAGGACTAGACTTCCTGTCTCAGGAACGTCTCTGGAGTTTTTTTCCCCTCCTTTGCTGGTACTTTGCTTCTGTGGAGTGACCATTCAAAGTTACAATGGCACTGAAAAAAGTGACTTAGGACCGTTTTTCACACTTACGACTGCTGCAGCATCCCCACAGTCATGAGAGGCTAGGGGAGAAGATGCGTGCCTCGATGTGAGTGACCTTGAGTTGGCCACGCCCAGCCAATAACAGGACCACCAAGCCACATCCACCCAGTCACATAACCAACAAACCACGCCCACCAACTAAGCCACGCCCACAGAAGCAGTTGTTAAAAAATTTGAATCCCACCCCTGGAAGTAACCAAGCAACCACCCAGAACCTCAATTGGACAATGTGTCTGATTGACTTGGGGAACGTTTACTTTTTAATCTGGTGAAAACCGTGGGAACCTTCAGAGTCGGTTTTCACCAGTTTGTGCCACTATGATGTATCCAGTAAATCATTCCTTGAGGAATCTACCTGCCTCGCAGTTCTGCTTTCTTTGGGTGCATTACCTGGAACGCTGACATTGAGATGCGATAAGAGTGGCAACATCAGGGTGTCTTTTGAAGCTTGACAAGGAAACTTCTGCTCCCAATTGTGGCCGTAAGTCGAGGACTACCTGTATATATGTAAAGGGCAGCCTTAACGCTCTACCTCTCCCTGCAGAGATAAAGCCAAGGGTGGAGTTTGTCAAAGGGGCGGGGTCTCTTTTCCCTTTAGCTCCACCCACTTACATCGCCCACCCTGCCACACAGCCTTGGGCTAATGAGGAGGCGCATGTGGCTCCATCGGAGCTCCCCAGTATTCAAAAGAGCCTTCCAAACTGCAGACAATGGAGATCCGGCGGGAACCGTGAGCCGGTTTCTATTCCGGGTTGTTATTTAAAAGACGGCGGCCATTTTTAATGCAGAGAAGACCGTGCAAAGGCTAGCCGGCACAGAGGAAGATGAGAAGAGCCTCTTTGGTGGTATTACATCTTGATCAAAGCATGACTGATAATATTCCGGCATGTCCCATCATTCAGCCCCCTCATTTGATGACAAAGCAGGGCCTGTGTCCCACCATCCATTATCCCTCTCCATCCCTCAGGCAGAAGCATCAATAATGCTTGCTCTTCCCAATGAAGGCCTGTCTTCCTTCCGCGCACCAGAGAGGACACTGCAGCTGACGGTGGGGCATTTCCATCTGGGCAAGGGCACATCATTACAGTCCAGCAATCTTTCCCGCGGCGCATCCCGCTGTTATACAGGCACACGGTGCAGCAGCCTGTGAGCGTGTGCGCGTTTGATGTTTTCCTCCCCTGGTTTAACTATTTTGTAGCCTGTGAAAATATATATATATATTTCTGCCCGGCGTGACCGTGCTGGTATTTGAGGGCTCCCATTCTCCTTTTCTCTCACTTTGTTTTCCACCATTAACTGCATTAGCTGCATTAACAGAGGGACAGAATCAGGACCACGGGGAAGTGTTAATACCGCTTTAGGATGCCTTGGGAGGGCCACACCTGGACTAATTGCCGTGATATTAAAAAAAAAAAAAGATGTTGAGACTCTGGAAAGAGTGCAGAGAAAAGCAACAAAGATGATTAGGGGGCCCAGAGGCTAAAAGACATGAAGAACAGTTGCAGGAGTTGAGTATGTCTAGTTTAATGAAAAGAAGGACTAGGGATGACGTGTCATGATAGCAGGGTTCCAATATCTCAGGGGTTGCCGCCAAGAAGACTGGGCCAAGCTATTCTCCAAAGGACCTGAAGGCAGGACTAGAAGCAATGGGTGGAAACTCATCGAGGAGAGAAGCAACCTAGGACGAAGGAGGAAGTTCATGACAGTAAGAACAATTAATGAGTGGAACAGCTTGTCTCCAGAAGTTGTGAATGCACCAACAATGAGAAGAGATTGGACAGCCATTCGTCTGAATTGATATAGTGTTTCCTGCCTGAGCAGGAGGTTGGACTAGAAGACCTCCAAGGTCCCTTCCAACTCTATCATTCTATTCTATTCTATTCTATTCTATTCTATTCTATTCTATTCTATTCTATTCCATTCCATTCCATTCCATATTTTTTATTCTATTCTATTCTATTCTATTCTATTCTATTCTATTGTCTATTCTATTCTATTCTATTTTCCATTCCATTCCATATTTTCTATTGTATTGTATTGTATTGTATTGTATTGTATTGTATTGTATTGTATTGTATTCCATTCCATTCCATTCCATTCCATTCCTACCCTATCCTATTCCCAGAAAACTGGTTGTCTCCAGCGTGCAATGCCCAATAAACCACAACACCGAGGTGGAGATTTGTAAACACTTTATTTTGCGTAGAAAAAAGGACACAGGAGGGTCATTCCCAGGGCCATCTTAACAGCATAATGGGCCCCAGGCAAAGCAGTGTATTTGGGGCCCCTAGGACAACTACTCACAGAATAAAAATGTAAATGGTCGATAAAATTAAACATATATTTGCATGTTAGTATTAATAAGAAAATGCAGTAAAATGTAATAAATACGTTGCTGTATTTATATATGATACAAGGTGCACTGAAAGGTTAAAATGCACAGATTAGTATGGGGCCCCTATGCTGGTAGGGCCCACGGGCAAATGCCCATCAGGCCCATGCGTTAAGACAAGCCCTGGTCACTCCCACAAGGCCTGTGCAATGGCCACTCCTTCAATGGTACAGTTTTCATAGATACAGGTAGTCCTTGACTTACAACTGTTCAGTTAGTAACAGTTTGAAGCTACAACAGCACTGGGAAAAGTGACCATTTTTCACACTTACGACCATTGCAGCATCCCCATGGTATTGCGATCAAAATTCAGA